TGAAAAACAACATCTCTGAATTGGAAAATTTGATTAGTATGCAAATCAAGTAAGATAAAAGCCTTGGAAGTGGATGGAAAACCAAGAAAGGCACACTTCTTTGCTCTAGGGTCAAATTTTAAATGATTATGGGGTAGGGTGGAAGCAAAACAAAGAGAACCAAAGACTTTGAGGTGAGAGTAAGAAGGTGGTGTATGAAAGAGTTTGTCAAAAGGTGTGAGGTTTTGGAGGATAGGGGAAGGTAATCTATTAATGAGGTAAGTGGCATGTGAGACAGCAAAAGACTAGTAAGACAGGGGAATATTAGATTGAAAAACTAAGGCTCTAGCAACATTTAAGATGTGTTGGTGTTTTTTTTCAACAATGCCATTTTGCTGGGGTGTGTTAACACAGGAGGTTTGATGAATAACACCTTTTGATTGATAAAAGTTAGTCATACAAAATTCAACACCATTATCAAAATGGATAAGGAGGTGGAAAATTGATTTTGAACTAGAGCAAAGAAGCTAATGAGATGAGTATGAGTCTCAAACTTAGTTTTTGTTAAAAATAACCATGTATACTGGGAGAAATCATCAACAATGGTAAGAAAGAATTTATAACCTTAAGTCAAAGGAGTAGAAAAAGGGCCCTAAATATCAACATGAACCAAATAAAAAATTTTATTAGTAGAGCTTGTGGCTACAGGAAAGGAGAGACGTTTTTGCTTTGGAAAATAACAAGTATCACAGACAAGGGGATGGGGAATACAAGAAATATCATTGTACTGTTTGTGCAATATAGAAAGAGTAGAATGAGAAAGATGTCCCAAACACAAATGCCAGAGAGTATTACCTGAGGTGGAAGAAGTAGTGGTCGTAGAAATTTGAGAGTGAGTAGGAGAGGGAGACACATCTGCATGAAGTAAGTATAGCCCTTCAAAATGTTTAGCTTAACCAATCATCAAAAAAGGATTGAGTAAGAGTATCAGGCACCAAGAGGATGAAAAGAGGAAAAAACAGTTAATGGTAACAGTCAATTAGAAACAAAGAGTATATTAAAGGAAAAATTAAGAAGAAAAAGAACATTGTGTAAGACCAGAGAAGAAGATATTGAAACAGTGCCAAAAATGGTAGAAGTGGCATAGGAACCAATCAGTAAACTAACTTGAACGGGAGGAATGGAACTATAAGAAGCAAACAATTCTAATGAACAACAAACATAATTAGTTGCACCTGAATCAATGATCCAATTAACTATAGATGTAGATGAAAAGGAATTACATTTACTTGTGGTTGGAGGAGAAGAGGAAGTAGAAAGATGGTTGACAAAAGGAGTCTAAGGTGGAGCAAGCAGAGCAAGAAGTCGCTGGTATTGTTCTAAAGATAATTGAGGTAGAACAAAAGCAGTAGAAGGATTAGGGAGCAGGGGAGGCTTAGCAGTATGAATGTCTTAAACTTACTAGAATCTTGAGATGAAAGATTATTCACCACAGCAAGAGAACCAGATCGAAACTTGAAGCTCAGAGGAAAACCATGTTTCCTATAGCACGTCTCTTTTGTATGTCTTGGTTTCCCACAGTAGGAGCATTACTTTGAAGAACCACCAGTAGGATTAATTAGAGGTCCGTGTGGAGATTTCGCTAGCAAAATCTTGGAATCAGCAGGAATCGATATAGAGGGATGAATTTCTCTTTCTTGCCGAAGAACTGAAAAGAATACTTAATTGATGGGGGGAAGGGGATCGAGAAGCATGATCTATGATTTAACGCTACCATATTGCTCATTGAGTCCCTTCAACAATCGGATTACACAATCCTGGTCCTGGTGAGTTTTAGCACTATTACCCAATCTACAAGTGCAAGATTCAATCAGCCAAATGTTAGATAGTTCATCCCAGAGAGTCTTTAGGCGAGTATAGTACTCACTTACAATAAGGTTGCCTTGTTTGAGACTGAAAATTTCTTCCTGAAGCTCTCCAATTCAGAAAATATCAGATTGAGAGTATCTAGACTTCAAATCGTTCCAGATCTGGGCAGCTGTATCAAACTAAAGAATGCTCCTAGCGATCGTGGGAGAAAGGGACTCTGTTAGCCACCCTTGAACAAGGTTGTTGCATTGTTCCCATGCCGGAAATGATTTATCAAAGGTCGTGACGTGGGATGAGGAATCAATCCATCAATGAATTTCAATTTGTTCTTTGATAGTAAAGCCATTTCCATGGCGCGGGCCCATCCGTGATAATTCGAGCCATCAAGTGGGGGAGAGACGAGAACTAGAGCTGGATTTTCATTTGGGTGAATATAGAAGGGGCTCGACTGGTCAGTGGAAGAATCAAATTCGGAAGCCATGAAAGAGCTTGAAGAGAAGGATGGAAAAGTCAACAAGCAGAGAACTCGAGGAAAAGAAGAAAGAGAAAAGGTATAATCAAAAGAGACAAAAAGGGCTTGGTACTGGCCTAGGATACCATGAGACTAGACTTTGGAAAAACTAACTTGCATTTATTATTGATAAAAAGGATATATATACAGATGGGTCTAAGAGTATTTACATAACAGAAAATGTAACCAATTTACAACGGTATAAATTATGTAACAGAATATCTATGTTAAACTTGACAATCTCCACAAGCCCAAGATGTAGAAGAGAAAATCATTTGTAAGGAATGTGTTGGAATTTCTTGCTTTGAAACAAGAAGAGTCCAAATATCACACATGTATATAATACCTAACATGTCACCTAGCAGTCAAAATTCTGACCCACAAAAAAAAGAAGCCAAAAGCTAATGGATTCCATCATCAATCCTGTACGTGTTTCTGCTTCTTCCTTTTCATAAAACCTTTTAATTCATTTGCAAAGCTTTGATTTGTTCTTTTATTAAAGAGAATGGAAGTAATATACCAGCAAAAGCTACAAGAGCTGATAGCTCTAATTATCTGCAGAAGAACGTGGTGAAGTTTCTTGCATCAGGTCTGATAACATATGAGACTTTGGCAAGCTTTAATTTTCTTTTTTAATTCCTCAAAAATCAATACTTACAATGAATTATATAAATTATTTAAAATTTGACCTTCTGGCGTAAACAAATTGAATATACTTTGTTTGCCACAGCAGTATTAGCAATCAAACCATAAAAGAAAGGAAAAGCTTCAGGAATGAATAAACTATGTGTAGAGTACAGTTATATTTGCTCCTCATATTCTTCAATTATAATTTATGTTCAATGAATTGGTTGGGTTGACATTTACATTTCAATGATAGCCAAACATTCATCAGAAATAAGGGTGTAAACCTATATGTGTGTGTGTGTGTGTGTGTTTTGGCAGGTGGCTTTGAGGGTGAAGTAGATAGATGCAGCTAAAGGCTAAAGCTCAATTATGATGTTATTGGGAAACCATTGGGGCTTTCCTAAAGAGCTCACTATGGCCTGCATACACGTGTATGAGTTGCACGATGAATATATATGTTTCGGGGAAGCAAGTACAATCTGGGATTATTAATTCGATGACAAGAATATAAAATTTTGTTGGCATATCTATAGGCAATAAGCAATTTAACGGAGAGAATTTGTGTGGGATAGCAGTGTTAGTAAACCAGGAAAGAATGTGCCAAAGTGTTGTGGGTGTGAATAAACTCTCTGTAGAGTGTACTCGTCTGATGCTATTTATCAGACAGAGGAAGAATTTTTTTTGTTTTTTCCATATCCACTTTATTAAATTTTTAATACCAACGTATTATTTTAATCTTCATTTATTATTATTCATACTGTTATTTTCTTGAGAAGCATATATATTAAATAAGAATAAAAGTAAAAGTGTTAATCTAATATTTGGTTCTTATAGTTTGCTCTCATGATTTTGATCCCTATAGTTTCAAACTGTAGGCATTGACCCTTCAAGTTTTAATTTATTGCATTTACAATGTTAGTCCTTGCAATTTAAGAAGGACCTACGCCTGAAGTTAACAGTGTTTAAATTTGCTGATATGTTACTAATACCGTTACTGATATGGCATGCTGATTGGATATGCGATTTTAATTAGGAAAAAAGGACATCATCTGATTCCATGAAATAGGCTGACTGGACTGGACTACGATGATGATACAGTAGGAACTGGTGGCACATTGCTAAGTACATCTTCGCATATTAAGGCTTTATTCAAATGTCAATTTGTTTGGATCTTATATAATTGACGGCCATGATTTCATTTTGCTTGCCCTGTGAATTAACATGCGCATCAGAAAACCCTTTTGGTGGGAAATTTCAAATGGTTACATGTCATTCTTAAGAGTAAGAAAGGAAGAAAAGAATCCAAGATAAATGAGTTTGCAAGCAATAATTGTGAGCTTGAATTATAAATGGCTGAATTTGTGTTGCAAACTGCTGATTTTGTTTTAATAACTGGCCGAATTGGAATTATAATTTTTTTATAAATCTTATGGGTGAATGAACATAGAGTATTTTTTAACTAAAAGAATTTCTATTTATTGTAAATTTGTTTGGAGTCTGATTAAAAGAATTTAACTACGCTATGCTTTTTTTTTTCCAAATGAATATTCATTTTTTATTAATAAAAGTAATTAAAATAATTTTCATTTTTAATGTGATTATATTAATGGATTATCAATGTTATTCATATTTTTCAATCTAAAATATTTACTATATCATTGAAAAACATATTCTTTTAATCATGTCTTGTCTAACCTCAAATGGACCTACGGCTTAGCCGGTTCAGTAATTGATCCAATTCAAAGTACATTATTATTTTAAAAAAATGAAAAAGCAACATTTTTTTGACAAATAATATGATTTTTTTTAAGACCAGATTGGCATAAAACTCTTGATTGCATTAAATCTATATGCATGTGCAAAACACGTGCACAATCGCACAGATCGCATAAACCACACCCTTCAAAGTTCAAACCCTAGTTGATCCTGCTCAAAGAAAAACCTAGCCAGGTCTCCTAACTCCATAAATACCATTTTAGCTATAGAAGTCACAGAAATGGCCGTCAAACTCTATTAGAAGCATAATCTTTATCTTCGGTTGTTGTGACCGATTTTGACATGTTATCCATAAAAGTTTTAGATCAAGAAGAAGACGGGACAGAGCTCTGGAAAACGGACGTACAGCTTTGATAAATCAGATCAATGGAATACCAAATCCAGGTATTTATAAAATTTATTGTATTTCATATATAATCCTGTAGATCTTGCATATATGATATCATTGGTGTTCTTGTATGCTAAAAAATTACATTGCGAATCAATGAATAATTTTGGGAAAAAAATTAAATCAACAATTGCCTAGTTATACTGACATTAATTAGGGATTTTGTGTGCAAAATATTAGAGGTTTAGGTTTAAGATTTAGGATTGTACTTTAAAGTGATAAATCTGTTCAAGCTTTATTTAATTTTACGGATCTTACCTTGCACATTTCATTCTATAGAAGTTCTTTTTTTTTTTTTAATCCCCCTACATGTATTAAAAGAACTTAAGCGATTTATGTTGACAGATTAATTTTCTTGCCCGTCAATGGGCACAATAGGAGGTCCAGGTGAATGATTGGATGGTTGAAAGCTTCAAAGAAATGAAACTTGATGAATAAGTAATATTGTTAGCCATAATTTACAAAGGAAATCATATAGGGGCAAACAAAACCCCCTGTACTCCTCTTGAATCTTCCAATACATAAGCAGTGAACATTTTATTTGCTTATTTATCACGGCAAAGGATGTTCAAATAATAAGCATTATCTAACTCAGTACGTATCCTAGACTCTATATATGGGTAGCTTAGGAAAAACGTGGTTGTTGGGCAATCTGCTGAAATAAAGTTATTTCATTGATATGAGAAATCACTTTTACAGAACTTAGATTTTGACCAATAATTTACATTATGTGATGTCCCACTAGATTTTGTGATCGATAGGCTTTTTGTCCTTCATGAAGAGATACTCTGAAATTTGTATTGCTTCACATTCTGAAACGGCTTGTTCTCCCAGGACTCCACCTACAACAAACAGAAGCATTATAAGTTGAAGAAATGCAGACGCGGGAAGTGCTAGAGTTTGCAGATCGGAGGTTCTTGATGTGTTTCATAGCATCATTATTTCAAGGGAATCGTCCAGCGACACAAGAGTATTCCCGCAACAACTTGCGGTCGCATGAAGACAAAGGATGATAACATTTGAAAGCTTCTGTGCGATGTGTGAGGAAGTGGTGGTTCCCCCTATGAGAAGATATCTGCTCTTCGAGTTGTGTCTGATCTCTTCATCATACTCCTACCTACGTAATCTTCAGAGACATAGTAGATGACTGATATCAGCAACGACAGGAGAAAGAAGGTGTAAAACTACATTAATCAGATGGAGAAAAGTACAGTGATGTGCACCCAATTATAACCCTCAATGTAAAGGTAAAAACCACGGATCGTCCTAGTCAATGAAAATCACAGCTCCATTATGATCAAAACAGGATGCAAGAGAGGCTCAATCAGATGCACAAGTAAGTACAAATTACTAGCCAAACAACTTAAGCTACTAGCTTACAATAGAGAATGAAGAAGCTGAAGAATACCCAAAGGCTATATGACAAACTTAATATCTCTCAACCCAGGTATTGAATCGATGATCCCACTACTGAAAATGATACACTGAATGTTACAAACTTGCTGTCCACATTTCAGTCCGAACTAACGTTAATGAATTCCTAAACACCTATTTACCAAGACTGCCTTATGAATATGTGAAAATGACTTTCTCTCTTCTCTCTCTTCGCTCTTCTCCCTCCAATGAGACCTCTCACCCTTAACCCTAATCTGATCCTTTCCACTTTACCAAGTGAGACTTAAATGTGTCTCGAAGATTGGGCCTTTTCCGCATAAGAAAGGAGCTCAAACCCAACAAGGAAGTCCTTCATCTTTAAAAGCAAGTCTTGCTACATATATTTGCTTATAGAGATTTTTCATGATACATTGGATTAAAATTAACGTGGATGGTACTATGGCTTTGGGATCTAACAAAGCTGGTTGTGGTGGCCTGCTACGTGACTACAAGGGACATTGGATAGCTGGTTTTTCTCATGAATGTGGTAGTTGCTGTAGTGCTAAGAGGCTGAAGAATGGGTCATTTATAGAGGGCTGAAGTTAGCCTGGGACTTTGGATTTAAACCAGCGATTTTAGAACAATCGGATGCAAAGATTGTGATCGAGCAAATTATTAAACAGAATCAAGGAGCCAATGGCAGTCTTCTCTTCATTCAGATTCAAAATTTGCTGAAATTTGACTGGACTGTCAAAATGGAGCATATTTCAAGGTGAAGAAACAGAGTTGCTGATGCATTAGCTAAGATCACTGGACTTTACGGGCCCTTGCGGAAGAAGAGTGTATGGGATACAATCCCACTGTCTTTTAATTTCCTTTTGGGCGTTTAGCCCCCCTTGTACACCCCCCCCCAAAAAAAAAAAAAAGAATATCATCTCGTTTTCAAGGACACAACCTCATAGTGCAACACCATTTTTGGACGTACACTCAAAGAAAGAAAAATGGAGTGCAACACAATAATGAACATCCCATTCTCCTTGAAGTAATCGATGGTCCAATTTTTCGCTTGCTGAACTTTAGGTCTGGAATCTTACTTGCTTAGTTAATTACCAATTCGTCAGATGAACATTTAATAATAAGTTTTACCTACCTTTATATAAGGTTATTTTTTCGAATTCCACATGACAGTCCATTGTTAAAGGGATATATTTCCGTTACATGAACATTTAATTATGGTCCCCCCCACCCCCCCAAACCATTACATAAAAAATTGGCATATATTTCCGCATGACGATTGTCATTCCTTACCAGTTAATTGTTTCGTTGATATTGTTAGATATTGGGACAGTCAGTGATATTGATCGATTTATCAATATTGGTCATGTCTTGTGTAAAAGCTATTTCTTCTCACATGAAAAAACGGTTTTGAGCTTATCTTTGAACTTTTCTTAGATATACTTTATTTTTATGTCTTGGCCCCAAAAAAAAAACTTCATTTTTCATGTGTCGTCTTTTCCTTTAATCTTAGACATAACCATTTAATGTTATGAAGATGAAGCGTTAATTTGAAAAGTCTCTACCTTAATATTCATATTAATTCTAGCGTTAATATGAGGAAAATTTACACCAATAGATGAAATCCAACCATTAATACTTGAGAAGCCAAGGATCAAGTTTAGAATCAATTATTTCTCTTATCCTTAATATAAGACCTATTCTGTGTTCAATTTGTATTATAAAATGAGTTTTACATCTAAGATCGGAAGAGTAATTTTTTTTTTTAATGCAACAGAAGAGAGTTTGGAATCAGTTAATTGAGGTGAAATAAATAGATCTTTCTTTCTTTCAAGTATGTAATATTGAAAAAGTCACGTCACTACAAAAAATTCGACTTTCAGCAGCGACATTAAGTCCAAAAGTCGCCGCTGAAAAGCTTCAGCGGCCGACATTTTGTCGCCACCAAGTCGTTGCTGTAGCGACCGTGGCTGAAACTTATCAGCGGCGACAAAAAAAAGTCGCCGCTGCTGAAACTCCTTTCAGCGGCGACATTTTGTCGCTGCTGAAAGCTGATGATGTTGCCACTCAGAAACGTTGCCACTGAAACATGAGAATTGGCGGCGACTAATGTCGCCGCGGAAGCTTGCTTCGACGGCGACATTGTGGTCGCCGCTGAAGGTTGCTTCGGCGGCGACATTGTGGTCGCCGCTGAAGGTTGCTTCGGCGGCGACTTTGTTGTCACCACTGAAACGGTCTTCAGCGGCAACAAAAAAAAGTCGCCGCCGAATCA